CATTGAGGTCTTATATATAATCTAGAGAGCGTATGTGGTGGTGGTGGGGGTAATCAGAAAGTCAGACATGTTGGATGTACCGACCTGAACTTAGCTATAGTTTCAAGTCTCTATTGTACCTACAATTATAACCTCACAATTCTCATAAACATATTGTTATTTTTATTAAAATTTGATTTTTGTTGAAAGTTTTCGAATTCTTTTCGTTTCACATATGTTTTTTATAATTTGATAGGTTGGACGATTATTTACAACAGTCCATAAAATGTTTCTGGTTACTTGACTTGGAATTAACAATTGAAGACCTCGGTATAAGAAGGGGACAACTCCTTCTCTTGATAAATGGAGCTACTCCCTTCTTGCAGCAAGGTCTTCAATTGAAGTTCAAGTAAAGTTTATTATTAAGGACTGTTCAGTTTTTTTTAAATAAACTAACAATTATTTATAAGCAAAGGTTAACGTGATCAATCAGAATTGCTTTAAATATTTTCTTCTTAGTTTATGTTAATTATAAGGGTTATGGCTAAAAATTATTAAGTTCTTTTAAAATATCATATAATTAATAATTATTTATCAATAAAAAATTAATGTTTTGTTTTGGTTATTATTTTCTGTCTTTCCAGTTTATAATAATGTAAATTCTTGCATAAGTATATATAAGAATTTCGAATTTCCCGCTAAGTTGGTACATCTAACATGGCGACCTTTCTGGCTTCATTTTAGGCGTGGTGGGGACAACAGCATACGCACTCTAAATTATATATAAGACCTCAATGGTGACACCTCAGAAAATTTTTGAATACAAACAAATGTTGCTATGTTTATTTGAATTTAAAAAAAAACATATGAGCGCCATCTATCGATAATTTATTAAATCATTTAAAAATAATATTAAATCGTAATAAAAAATGTGAAATAATGCAATCTATTCCAACTTTTGTGTAAAACATATATAAATTAAACAGTTCAATAAATATATTTGTTTCAAATATCAGAAATATACAATATTACAGGAAACTGTAAATTTAATTTCTTCGACGACACTAAAAGAAAAGTTTATTTTTAGTTTTATTCTAAAACAATAAGAAATAGACCTGTCAAACCCTATATTTTTGTAATCAGAAAAAAATAACGAATTTATTAAGCGAATAATCATTGGTTGTTTCCATTTAAAAAAACTAAAATTGTGATAATATCTCAAAATCTAAAACCGACAAAATTTTTTTAACTACGTCATCAAATTCTCTGTAAAAAAGTGTCCATATAAAGTCTTAGTTATAATACTCCACCTATAATAATAACCAAGCTAATTACATTTTGCGGGTTTTACGATATTTTCAATTTTGGCCTCTAGCGGAAAAACAAAAGACGATAGCGGTATAAGGTTTTCGGCATTAGCAGTTTCTCGAAAAACGAGATCATGACATGTCAGCTACTTTTCTTCTAACTCTTATAGTTTTCGAGTTAGCCTATTCGGACATCGAATTTGAACCACCCTGTACTATGTGGACAATAGTCTCTAATATAGCGATCGTATTGCCTTTCCAATGATATCTATAGGGAAGAGACTAATTGATTTGAAAGGCTTCGGGGGAAAGACTTCCATTATTATGGTCAGCAAGTATTCTAAAAATCCCGGAAAGTATCTTCTGCCGGCGGTCAGTCCAAATCGGGTTTATCCAAGAACTTTATTACAGCTTATCATATGCTGCGTTTCATTCTCTTCTTCAGCCTTTTCGCCCCTTTAAACGCGCAATTTGATTTGTTATCGCGAGCTTTTAGACTATAAAAACAGATTATTTGCAATAAAGACTTTATCATTGCTAACTAAGCTAACTAGAGAAATGTATTGAAAAAATTACATTAATCAGAGAGTATTATATAGAACATATTTAAAATTTGCAAGTTCAACAACAATTTTTTAGTAGTTTTATCTTATTGGTTTATGGCTCATTAATTATGATTTTACCCTTATTAGAGAATATATACTAGAATATAATAAGATGGTATGAAAGCACTGCATATACCGCGAGTTTACCGTTAATGGGAATCGTATAATAATTATTTTACCGCCTCCATATTTTGGTTATCGTTATAGTGCGGTTGTTCCGTTGTTATTCAATGGCGCTTTTCCGTTTTCGGGTCGTTAATTGAACGGCACAGCTCCCACTTACCGGCCTATTATGCTTCTATATATATTTACGTTCCATTAGCCACACAGGCCCCGAATCGGGTACATATACCTTCTATGAACTTCGTTTATAATAATACCAAGTGCACAAAACCTTTGTACATAACCAAATTAGGTAGACAAGGTTTGTACCATGTTAAATAACTAACTAATACTTAATAATTACATAATACTTCTTTATATATGTGTGTAAATATTTGTTTCAGTAACTTAGATGGACATGTACGATGAGATAATCTTCGTTTTGTAAGTTTTAGTGTAACAAAATCCTTGTAACATGATCTTCAACTTGTTTAACCTTGATCAATTTATTACATTTTTCAAAAAACTCTTTAAAATAGCAAGCACGATAGGAACTTCTTCATGCATTTTTGTGTAACCACCTTCTTTCAAATTTACTATTTTAATCCTTTTCAATATGTGTCTTTTATAACAAAATTTGATATCGAATTTTTCATAAAATGTTTTGCCTGTCTTTTTCTACCTATCAAAAAAATATATGTATGTACTTGTACTTCTTTTTCCACTACTTTTTTCTTAATTATGTGTACATGATGTGTCTAAACTTTAAGTTAACTTTATGTCTTTTCTTCTCTTATAGGAGTTTGAATTTGCTTAGGAGACTTAAGGTGAGTCTGTCTAAACACGCTATTACGACTTTTGCTTATGCACGACTTTCTTTTGCATGTATCTTTCGTTAAAATAATACTACAATAATGTGGTTTGTATCAAATACAGTGTGGTATGATTAATATTCAACTTAATTGCATAGCAGGGGGTTATTTGCACGTGCGTAAATCGCAAGGTGTGTGTTTGATCACGCGAGAGTACATCAAACGCAACGGTACGCATACGTGTAGTTAAACAAACGTGTAAATAAACACGGATGACCTGCTTTACTCCAATATTACGATCAATTTACTCGTGCAAATAACATAAACGTTCTCGACCCTTTGAGATGTAAAAACAATTTTGTATTAATTATTATCATCATTTTACTAAAACTAGAACTAACACTACCACTACAACTAACACTACACCTAGAACTAGAAAAAAAAGTTTCTAGAAGTTATAGGTAAAATTTTACTTTAATCAATCCTTGCAATCAATTATTATAATCCTTTGTATTAAACGGATCCTTTTATATTTGCGATGAATTGAGTTGCTGCGATGAATGTATCATTACCAACGAAGCATTAACCATTTAGAAAGAGTTGTCTTCTCTCAAACCGTTGGAATTGAAGCGAATTACGCTGTCAAGTGCGGCGGTCGAAATACGCCGACGGTTAGTTTTGGTTTCATTACAGTAATGGAGCGGTTCGTTTGCAGAAGCGGTTAAACAAGGCACAATAGTTAATTTCGCGTTGTTTTGTAAACATTTCAACGCTGCGACATGTCCCAACGAGCCAACCTCCGACGTTATGTCCTTTACATCCCTATCCAAAGGGAACAATAAAATCATAAAGTAGTACCGTGCAGTGGAGGAAAATCTTTTCACATAGCTATGTTAGCTACTTAATTTGCGTATAGAAATGTTTGTCTCAAAAAGCATTATTACTTTAAATTTTAGCTATCCGGTAGTATAAACGGAGGTGGATTAGATGGGAAAAGACAACTAATTAGTAAAGGAGCTTCAATTAAGAGAAGATCCACGGGCAAAGAGATTGTTAAATCAGGTTTACCAAATTAATGAAGGCGGATTAGAAGGGAAAGGGGTTGACAGGGAACGGTCTTCTTTGATGTCTTTCTCCGGCGGCGGCGCGTCCGCGTATCATCGGATAAGCGTTTGAGAATCCTTGTCTTGGATCTTCATTATTCGCCCTTGGAAGGTGAAAATTTTTACGTTATGAAGTCTACCCCTGAAGGCATTCCAAATAATTTATTACACTTTTGTTTACTTCAATAAGTGTTGTTTGTAAAAGCTAAAAGGTGTCGCCGATGATCTATGACCATTAAGTAAATAAAAATTGTGTTATTTCTGGATAAACTAAAAATGTATCTTCTTAGAAATTCTTTCAGTAAAGCTGTAAACAGAACAAAGTGTGCCGTTCCAATTAACATCGATCGTCGCGGATTATTCGAAAGCCGCTTCTCTGTTCGAGACCAACACGTTCCTCGTTCTCTTTGAATAAATAAACAAAGAACTTGCTAATTGCGCGTTGGCAAGCGCGATGTTTAATTCTGGGGAAAACGGGCTGCTATGCCATTTCAGGCCGCAGCAAAGCGATTCTGCGGCTTAATCGAATTAAGCCCGACTTCGAAGCGAACTAAGACTCGAAACCAAATTGGCGTTGACAACGGACCGTTACGCATTACAAATTTACGTAGAAAAATATCGTTGTACGCGTTGCGTCGTTACAAATTAAGGAATAATCATTTAGGGATTAAATTGTAAGTAGCAAATGATTTTACAACAAAGACGACAACTTGCATTGGAAAACCTAACATTAATTTACCAAGAAATTAAGTGTATATCTTAGAAATACATCAGACTGTCCAACAACTATGCTAAATAGTGTCCCTAGCGTATTTCAAAGTGATCAGCAGAGTAATATACCATGTGTAAGAATGAAAGAACTGTATTATGAAATACAAAAACTAAATATAAAGAAATCAGTGGGCTATGACCTAATTAATGGAGAAACATTGAAACATCTACCAAAACGGGCGATTACAAAACTATTACACATAATTAATGCTGCTTTTAAACAGAAATACTTCCCAAGCATATGGAAAGTTGCTGAAATAATAATGATACCAAAACCTGGTAAACCCCCCACAGATGTTACATCATATAGGCCAATCTCATTATTACCCTTACTATCAAAACTGCTTGAAAAATTACTATTAAAAAGACTAAAACCTGTCATAGAAGAAAAAGCCCTAATACCAACACATCAATTTGGGTTTCGGAATAAACATGCAACAATAGACCAAGTGCATAGAATAACGAATACTATCGAAATAGCAATGGAAGAAAATAAAGTCTGCTCCGCCGTATTTTTGGATGTTGCACAAGCTTTCGACAAAGTCTGGTTAGATGGTTTAAATTACAAACTAGACCAAATACTACCATCAACGTATAGTCAACTATTAAAATCATATCTTTCTGATCGATATTTTAGAGTAAAATACGAAAACGCTTATTCACCAATACATGAAATACGAGCCGGAGTTCCTCAAGGAAGTGTGCTTGGCCCAACATTGTACTTACTCTACACATTCGACCTTCCTCAGGTACCAGAAACTTTAACAGCTACATTCGCAGACGACACAGCGATCTTGGCTGTTGCAGAAAATGAAGTAGTTGCAGCAAATAAGTTACAATTGGCATTAAATTCAATAGAAAACTGGACCAAACGATGGCTAATAAAACTAAATACAAATAAATCGACATACATAAACTTTACTTACAAGAAAGTAAACTATGTCCCAGTACACATAAATGGCAATGCAGTCCCTTACGCCGACACCGCAAAATATCTTGGTATGACGCTGGATGCCAAACTCAAATGGAAAGCTCACGTCAAAAAAAAACGTGAGGAACTTGATATCAAATTTAGACACCTATATTGGCTTATTGGCAGAAAATCAACGCTATCACTAAGAAACAAGTTGTTAATATACAAGCAAGTATTAAAACCAAAATGGACATACGGAATCCAACTGTGGGGTTGTACCTGCAAGACAAATGCAAGTCTGATTCAAAGATTCCAGAACAAAGTACTAAGGTGCATAGTGAATGCACCCTGGTATATAAGAAACACCGACCTCCATCGCGACTTGAAAGTAGCATCGGTGTCATCAGAAATTGCATCATTTGCATGTAAACATGAGAAGAGAATGCACGATCATCCCAACATCGAGGCCATCCAGCTTCTCGACAACGAGGATGTCCTGCGTCGCCTTCAGAGGATGAAGCCGTTCGATTTAGTGACCTAGTGCCCTAGTCGATTCAAACGCGAGCAATAGTGCGGAATTATAACAAAAACAATAATACCCAATACGTGTGTTCCGCGTATCGCAGTGTGCGCGTTTTTGTGTTTTGGTCTTAAAACGGTAAAAATATGACAATATTTATCTATATTATGGGAAAAGCAGACTGGACCACTGGGAAAAGCTGCAAAACATTATCTAGTTTAATTTAGTGTTAAAAATAAGTAACTAATACAATTGTGCTATGCATAATATAGAAAAAAAAAATCTTAGAAAGTAAAAGTATTTTTTCAAAATGGCAATTTGTATTGGGATGATTGCCGATCTTCAGATCGAGTTAGGTTGGGATCTGCATAAAATTAGTGAACCATATCTTACTCCCATCGTAAATGTCTCCTCGTTCAGTGTCTCTAGTTATGCCTCTGTGGTTCTTAAGTCAAAGTTAAAATCAGATTCAACTTAGGGCTGCACCTCTACAAAATCCAACTGGACCAGGAGCTTTCTGGGCCACAGATATACTTTGGCGTCCTTTTCTCCTACTGTTTATACCTAGGCAACATTGTTGACATGTCGCAAGTACCAAAACCTCGCATGCCGCCGATGTCCCCAATAGGCTATAATTATCTGGTAGAAAGAAGTGGTAGTGGGAAAGCCGTTCAGTACTTATTATACAGGGTGCGGCAAAACTCCCTCCCTAATTTGAAGGTTGAATAAAAAATAGATGGTACAAATTAACGAAACTGTATTAACACGAATGGTATCTACAGAATGGGAAGTTATGTTATTATAAATGGGATGAAATTCTCCATATTTCTCTAAATATAATAAAATAGGATGTATGTAAAAGTAAAAACTTTTTTGAGAAATATTAAAATGTTTTAATTCTATTCAAGTAGACATGTTTCGAAAACTAATGTTTCATCTTCAGTACCTAAATTTATGAAAAAGAAGAAACAAATTAAACAAAGGTTAACCGGAACGTATTAATAACGGTAAAATGAAAATCGGAATTTGAAAAGGTGAACTTACATAGAAAAATTATACAATATAATGGAATTAGTTAATAGGTGGGGTTCAGGAGTAGATCTAATTTCTTATAACTAAATTTACAATTAAATTTAAATTAGATTAACAAAATCACAGATTAAAAACTTCAACAAAANAGGGGGCGTAACTGCCATTGAGAAACATAAAGTTCCCGCTATCTCAGAAACTTAGACGATGAGCTATAACTTTGACAACATCATTTAATAGCTTGGATAATACCGCATCGCTTTTGTTTTGCGATATTTCTCATATCTGTCATAATAAGGGAGGGGGAGGCCAATGCGTTTTCATATGTTTACATTTTAATATCTCCTAGACCATTCAACCGATTTGAATATTTTCGGTGTTGTTTGAAAGAGCATTTTATGCTCTTTTTAAAGATATTTTCAGTAAGACCGTCTGCTTTAAAACAAATGAGCTAGAGGACGTTATCTGCAGCGATTACATATTTTTGTGATTTTTGAAGAAAAGTTAAATGGAACGATACTATTTACTTTACAGACCCTTAGTCACCTTAAAATTTGCTAAATTTTAGTGAAAACCGCATCTCGATATCGCCACCCGTTCTCGAGTTATAGAAGAAAATGTTAAAAACTCGAGTGCCATCAATCGGATCCAGTTACCTCATCGAGAAAAACAAATCACATAACCATGGTAACTGTAAACATGTCATTTACTAACGCAGAAGCGTATGATAGAGCGTATGATGATTTATTTTTAATGTTTTGAATACAATGCAACTGCATGGCAAAAATGTGCAGTGCAATTACGACAAAGAAAGACATTTTTCTCTAGAAGTGTTTTTAAGATTGACTTAGCGATTACGGAAAACTGGCAACGTGTAGCCCATTCAGACATCTCTATGATTTCGTAAATCACATTGGTGCGCAATGTGATCCCACATAATCTGGGAACTCCGAACACAATTGTCCACAAGATTTCTCAAGAGCATAATATCTCCACCACGTTGTTTTACATCAAGC